CATCACATGGTCCGATCACCATCCGTCCCAACTGGAGACATTCCCCTGACCACTGCTCACCCAGGTGCAGGAAAGACATGACCTTGACTGCAAGGAAGAATGCTATTATGGCTAACTACATACAGTACACTCTACAAAATTCCCCCCTCCCAATTTCCTAGGCACAGGAATGTGGCAGCGTGGAAGCTTCTGCTGCTAATATGGCTTCCAAAGCTGACACCTGGACTTACAACAAGGCTCCTACGTCCCTTGATTCAGCGCTGACATGCTCTGAGGAAGCTCTTGCTAACTTAAGCAGAACTACCACTCCAGATCTCCTCAGCCTTGAACAGTGTGGTGACAAAGTTGGCACTGGTTTGCAGAGGCTGATGGCATTTCTATTCTAAGGTGTTACCTTGAGCCGATCATTCCTTCCTGCCCATTGCAGTCGTGGCCCTGGGGAAAGGCTGCTATTAACATTCCAGAAACCTTTTTCTTCCTCGGGCCATTTTTAGTCGTGACCCAAAGAGTAAAATTCACCAGGAAGGGCAATCATTTCGGTGTCTGGGAATGAGAATCTCATCCCGTTTCCTGAAATTATTTCAAGACATGCTGCTTCCAGTGTTTTGAATTTAAATTTAAAAGTCCAATTCAATCCTAGTAAAATAGAATCAAGATCATGTGAAGTGCTTGTACCACATTACAAAGCCTTAGTAAGACCACACCTGGAATATTAGGTCCAGTTCTCGTCACCACAATATAAAAAAGATGCTGAGACTCTGGAAAGAGTGCAGAGAAGAGCAACAAAAATGAACAGAGGGCTGGAGGCTAAAACACACAAAAAATGGCAACAGGAACTGGTTCAGAGGTGGTATTCAGCAGGTTTTGACCAGTTCTGGAGAACCGGTAGTGGAAATTTTGAGTAGTTCGGAGAACCGGCAAATCCCACTTCTGACTGGAGATTTTACAGTCTCCTTCCCCTGCCACGCCCACCAAGCCACACCCACAGAACCGGTAGTAAAAACAATTGAATTCCACCACTGAACTGGTTATGTCTAAGGAAAAGAAGGACTAGGGGAGACATGATAGCAGTACTTCAATATTTGAAGGGCTCCTGCAAAGATGAGATGGATCTTTGAGAATGTTTTGAACTTTCTAAAGGCAGTGGGAGCTATAAAGCTCTTCCAAAGAGGGGAGAGGGCAACCCATGATCCTCTGGGCAATGAGGTTAACCCTCTGGAGTGCTGTCCTATCTGCCCCTGTGCAATTGGCAAACCATACACAGATGCAGTAAGTTAAGATATTTGGATTTGATAGGATGTTCTGCATAAGGTAGAAATCGCACTGCCAAATTTTTAATCTCTGTTGAAATAAGAAGGCTTAGTAAAGTGATCCACCTCCAAGTAAAACTGCCTTTTGCAATTGACTGGTGGAGATTTTGCCGCTGCCACTGGCGGTCAAGTGATGTGGTGCTATTATTGTTTTGAATTTATTATTGCCATCCTCTCCATAGGACTTCCAATAGACCTCTTAAGAATTCTTGATAGCATCAAGTCAGGGCCTTATCTTTTTGGGTTGCCTCATTGAATCGAGAAAGAGAGGTAGTCCTTTTCTCTCAATGTCTTCATGAAACCAGGGGTGGGATTCTACCTGGTCTGACCGGTTCTATAGAACTGGTTGTTATGATTCTGCCCAGTTTGGAGAACTGGCTGGCTGGCCCCTCTCCCCCCACCCACTCACTCCTTACCTGGCATGCATGCCATCCAATTTACCTGCCTTTGGTAAGTTGCTTTTTTTTCTCCCCCCCCCCCCCCCAACCATCAACTGTTCTATTGTGCCAGGAGATTTAGATTAGCTAGAAAGCAGGAAACTGTTGGATGTCTTGCTCTGTAGCTAATCTAAAAGCAGAGCTGAACCTTCCTTAGGACTGAAGCTTCTATTTTTCAGTGCAGACTCAGGTAGCAGATTGCAGAAAAGTAGATCTCTGAGTGACTCTGTGATTCTGTGAGCAACTCAATCTGCTTGCCAGCTTTGCATGATTTTGGGTAAAAGTTGCTCTTTTTTAATAAAAAATTCAATATTTACATAAACATTTATAATATTTACATACAAGCCACACCCACCCAGTCACATGACCACCAAGACACATCCACAAATTAGGCCATGCCCACAGAACAGGTCGTAAAGAAATTTGAATCTCACCCCTGCATGAAACTACTTTCTTATAATTTTATTATAATTTTGAATGCTTCAGCATTGATCGTCATTGTGAATTTCAGAAGGCATACTAAAACAAATATAAAATGTGCCTGCCAATTCATTTATTTATTTTGCCATTTGCTTCTCCCTCTCATTTTCTATTTCCTGTATCTAGCCAGTTTCCAATTCTCAAATGACAAGTTCTAACTCTGTTCCATCAAACATTTATATTTTTAATGACTGTTCATGAGTTTGTGTACATTTTCTGAGATTATGTACTTTGCATGACTAAGCATCCAGAGTTATTGTGTCTCCCATTTGTCTGTTGCTGGATCTGTTTAATTTCTGCAGGAAATAAAGGTCCATTTGCAATGCACACAGCGTAAAACTGTTTTATTTTAACATTTTAATTAGTCTGTGCCAAAGGAACCAAATCATTTCAACAGTTTGGATTCAAAACCATTAGGAAAAACTGCGTTCCTTAAAAACAAAAAGCAGAAAAAGACTGACACTTTTGAGGCAAAATAGCTGGATTTTTTAAAAAATGGTTTGTTTTATTTTTGAAGTACACTTTACTGTTTTCCCAGATTTGCTATCAGAATGTCATTTTAGAAACCCAAAATTGTGATGTATAATATATAAAAGTCTTATCTAGCTGATGTTCTACAATTATCAGACTGGTAAGAATTCAGCTCTAATTACAAACTTAGGAAAATATACTAATACAATTAGAACAAGTAAGTAAAATACTAAGTTCAGTAACAATAACAGAACAGATAACAGTAACAGTAATAACAACAGTAAGGGAATAACAGTTGGAAGGAACCTTGTAGGTCATCTAGTCCAACCCCCTGGTCAAGCAGGAGTTACTGTACCATTCCAGACAATCAGCTGTCCAATATCTTCTTAAAAACCTCCAGTGAGGGAGTATTCACAACTTCTGAACTTAATTGTTCTCATTGTCAGGGAATTGGTTTTCTCCATGATTAGTTTCCATCCATTGCTTCTTGTCCGGCCTTCTGGTCATCTGGAGAATAGCTTAACTTCTTTGTGTCAGCCCCTTAAATATTGGAATGCTCTATCGTATCATCCTTAGTCCTTCTTTGCATTACACTAGGCGTACCCAATTCTTCGTATGTTTTAGTCTCCAGTCCCCTAATCAACTTCGTTGCTCCTCTTTGCACTCTTTCTAGAGTCTCAACATCTTTTTTATATTGTGGCGACAAAATAATAATAATAATAATAAACTTTTTTTCCTGATATACAAGATTATAAGATGTTGAACTGCCATTCTGGGTTTTTTTAGTAGCCAACCAGCTGAACAGGAGCTAATACAGATAATATTTTAGCCTATGATAAATAACGATTGATATTCAGCTGTATAGTCCTATTCTGGAATATTACATTATCCTTCATTGATTGGTCTGTGGCCAGAATTCTGTCTTGTGGTAGTAAATTCCATTTGGGATCAATGAGGCTGAGTTTCTTTGTGCTTTCTAGCCTTCTCAGTGGGGTTATGCCTGCCTACCTGTCTTCTCTCTCTCTTTTTTTCTCTTTTTCTCTCTCTCTCTCCAGGGGGAGGAATCTCCTATTGTTATCTCCAATTTTTTGACTGTGAAAGTTAAAACCACCACAGAGCCACCCCTATGGAGACATTTAATCTCTGGATGTGAAAGGGTTTGTTAACAATCATCCATGCTTAGAATACGGTTGACCAAAGGGATTAGTTTAACCTTTGCAAAACTGGATCTCTTAAGGCTAAATATAACCCCACTCCACCTCAGTTGGCATGGTTAAGGCACAGTGTTGGGAAAGAAATGTGCACATACTGTATATACCTCTATTAAAGTAAAAGGCATTCATAGTAGTTATTCGATAAAAAATGAACTCAT